CGACAAAGATGTATAGGGATCTTCGTCTGGACTATTGGTGGCCCTGCATGAAGCAGGATGTGGCATGGTACGTGCAGCGGTGCTTGACCTGCAGGAAGGTCAAGGTCGAGCATCAGAGATCACACGGCAAGATGCAGTCGTTAGATATTCCGATGTGGAAATGGGAAGACATCACGATGGACTTTATCACCAAGCTTCCTAGGACCGAGCGAGGGGGTGGATTCGATCTGGGTCATCATCGATCGATTGACCAAGAGCGCCCACTTTATCCCGATTCGGGAAAGCATCTCGGCCGAGAAATTAGCCGATATCTATATCAGGGAGGTGGTGGCGCGGCACGGAGTGCCAGTTTCGGTGATTTCGGATAGGGATGTGCGGTTCACATCCAGGTTTTGGAAGAAATTCCACGACGAGTTAGGTACTCATCTGCATTTAAGCATCGCCTTTCACCCGCAGACGGATGGCCAGAGCGAGCGGACCATCCAGACTCTGGAGGACATGTTGCGGGCATGTGTTTTAGACTTCGGAGGTAGCTGGGATACCTACCTTCCGTTGGCGTAGTTCTCGTATAATAATAGCTATCATGCGAGTATCGACCGTCCTCCCTTCGAGATGTTGTATGGGAGGAGGTGCAGGACCCCGATATTTTGGGGCGAGGTTGGCCAGAGGGTCATGGGGAGCACTGAAGTAGTGCTCAAGACGACAGAGAAGATTCAGCAGGCCCGGAGCAGGCTTCAGACTGCTCAGAGTCGGTAGAAAAGTTATGTCGATAAGTTCTGATTAGACCTGGAGTTCCAGGTTGGGAATATGGTTCTCCTGAAAGTGTCGCCTTAGAAGGGCATCATCCGATTCAGGAAGCGGGGCAAGTTGGGTCCCAGGTTTATTGGACCGTTTAGGGTTGTATCCCGGGTGGGCAAGGTGGCGTACCAGCTGGATCTTCCAACCGAACTCAGTCAGATCTACAGCACTTTCCATGTCTCCCAGGTGCGGAAGTGCCTGGTGGACGACTCAGTGGTGATACCCTTGGAGGACATTCAGGTTGATGACAGCCTGAATTACATCGAGCGGCCTGTAGCGATCATTGACCGGAAGTCAAAGGATCTGAGTAACAAAAGAGTGGAACTCGTGAAGGTGCAATGGCAGCACCGGAAGGGGTCGGAGTGGACATGGGAACCAGTGGACGAGATGATGGAGCATTACCCCGAGCTGTTTCAGGAGCGAGCAACAGACTTCGAGGACGAAGTCTAAAATAAGTGGGGGAGATTTGTAGCACCTGATTCTTGGAAGTTTGGAGCTTAGAAGAAGAAGGAGGAGGTTGAAGGGTGCAAGGAGGGGAAGTAGATCCGAAATCTACACTGTGAGAAGCTTCAATTCAGGTAGAAAAGTTCCTACCTTGATTACTAGTTCATGAGATCCCCTTTTTTTCCCTAATTGATGGTTTTCAAGCCCTAAAACCTCAAACTCCATGAGGTTATGCTCTATGTTCTGAAAGGACTTCAGATCTGGACCCTATGGACACCTTAGAAGTGTAAAGTCTTTGTGGTTAAATTGATTGAGGTCCCTATTGAGTGTATGACCTCATAAAGATCTTGGAATTGCCTTTTGGAGCTCATAGGGCCATGCATGCACATAAAGTTTGCAACTTTATGTGATAAGCATACCCTAGGAGCTTAGATCTATGGTTTGGAAATGTTGCATGTCTCATATTTGGTCTGTATGGGAGGAGGGTTGAAGGGACTCGGCGAGTTCCAAAGTGGACTCGGCGAGTTCTATGAAGATGGTCTTAGACTCGACAAGTTGGATGAACAACTCGGCGATTCCTTCGACGATTGCCTGGAACTCGACAAGTTGTTCTTCAGACTCAGCGAGTCATATGAACTGCTACTAAGTTAAGAGGGGTTTAAGTGTAGAAGGTCCAACCCTTCGTAGCTGCACGCAGGATTAGCAATTAATGTGTAGCAATATTCCCAGAAATCCAAATCCCCAAGATGGATGCTCTGGTGAGGATTTAGAAGCGAATAGGAGATATGCTCGGGGGACTCGGCGAGTTGTTCTCGGACTCGGCGAGTCGGATCGCGAGTCAGTCTAATCATCCCAAGTAGTGAGTTAAGGGTGACTCACTGAGTGGGAAGAGGGACTTGATGAGTTAGTGTTGGGATAGTAAGAGAGGGACTCGGCGAGTATGTGCCGTTACTCGACGAGTCCAGTCAACTGGAAGTTGAATTTAACCAAGGAGTTGACCTTGGACCAGGGGTAGGTCAGTCATTTGACCTAAGGGTATTTAGGAGTGACTCATCTATGTTTATGGATTTATAGCTGGAGGATTGTCGGTGCAGCAGTCAGTCGTCTAGCAAGCAGACTTTCAGCAGCTACTTTTCGAGGTGAGTTACCTTCCAGTAGCGGTGGGTCTACGGCCACAATGCCGGCCCACCAGTAGGAGTTGTATGTTAGATGATTGTCTTTGTGATATTCATCTAGGTTTGCTACTACTTGATATGTTTATGTGCTAGTATGTTATGATGATATGTGATAGTGGTAGTAGAGGTGAAATAGTCCCCGGTTACCGGTCGAAAGGACTGAAGGGGAGGCCAGCACCCAGATATGCTAGGCAGTATCCGGTCGAAAGGACCGAAGGGGAGGCCAGCACCCAGATATGCTAGGCGGTATCCGATCAAAAGGACCGAAGGGGAGGTCAGCACCCAGATATGCTAGGTAGTATCTGGTCGAAAGAACCGAAGGGGTAGGTCGGACACCCAGATGTGCCTGACAATATTTGTATGTTATGTGATTATGTGGTACGATGGGGGAACTCACTAAGCTTCGTGCTTACAATTTACAGTTTTGTTTTCAGGTACCTCTTCTTCGAAGGGGGAGGAGCTGGCGCGGTAGTGGCACATCATACACGCACATTGTTTTCCGCACCATGAGTTATTCTGGGATTTTGTACTCTGACATTATGGTTGTTTTTATGTTTTGGTTTTCAGACACGAAATATGTTCATGAAATGATAGGATCAAACGATGTTATTTCACAAACGTTTTCCAAATATTGATTAAAAAAATGAAATTTTTGGACGTGAAAATTGGGTCGTTACATAAACCCATGAGAGCCCAATATTCTAGCAAAAGCCCAACATTAAAAGTATAATGGCCCAACAAGGTCCAATCTTAAAATTCCAAAACATGGCCCAATACCGAGAATTGTCAAGCCCAAGAGTCCATCTGTTGATTACGTGGGGCGTACACAACTTGTACGCCCAGTGTACGCCTCAAACTCCCAATCTACTCCATTAAGCACTTAATCAGTTATGCTTCTTGCCAAACTCTCAGATCTGATCCTAAAGGGTGACTTAATACGTAAACTTGGCAACTTTAAACCCATGCATGGCTTAATAGGACTTAAAGCTGAAAAATAAGCTTAATAAAGTTCTTAACACTTGCATGGGCCAATATCTTTCACAAAGTTTGCATTTTTATGAACAATAGACCTCCATGGAGCTAAGATCTAACACCCATGGATTCTGGAGTAGATCAAAAGCTGAACTTTATCTCAAAAGACCCAAAAATGCATAAACAAAGTCCCAAAACTAGATCTAGCATAATGAAACATCAAGTAGAGAACTTTATACCTCAAATGGCTTGTAATAACGATGATGAATCTGGATCTACAAGCCCAACCTACTTCCAAGCAACCACCAAAAGTTCTTTTTCTTCTATATGCACCAAAATGCCCAAAATCACACTAAGAACTCAAATACCACTCAATGGGGGCTAGGGTTTCGAGATTATAGGTTGAGATGGATGGGTTTGCAAATGGGGAGAGTTCTAAGAGTTAATGAGGCTTAAATAGGGTCCAAACTCTAAAATTTAGGGTTTGCATTTGACCCACGTACGCCCAACATACACATGGTGCGCCCAGCCTACAAGGGTGATGCTCCACGATCATTTGAGCCTTGTATGCTTAGCTTACTCCGTGTACGCCGAGCGTACTCGGCATTGCCCCAATTCCTTACTAACTTCAAATGGCTATAACTTCTTCGTTTTAATTCTGACTCCAACGATCCTTATATTCACAGAAAGGTAATGAGAAGCTATACACTTCTATTAACTCCCCTTTTCCTTAAACTTTCCAAACTAAAATTCAAAATTCATAAAAGGCCCAAACTGGAATTTTACTGATATACCCTTAGACTCCAAAACACAAACCGAACTCCCGATCATCTAATCTATATTATCTACACTCAGAGGGGACTAAGTCTCTTTCCTAAAGGCCCTAACCCTTATCATCTCACTTGTTGTACGATAATAATTAAATTTATAAATAAGGATGGTTACTGAAAAAAATAAAAAAAAGTAAAATAAAATTAGAAACATGGTGTTACATAAAGTTTCATCGGTTTCTTAAAAAAGGATTTGTTAAAGCTCTAGGTTATTAAAACAGCTAACTACAATGAGCTAACTACTCGAAAGAAGTGTATATGCTCCTAAGTCATTGGTTATCACCTCCAAGTCTTTAGGTTAAGTGGTGTCCTGATAATGTATTCACGGATGAAAACGATTCAACATCATCATCGTGTCTTTTCACAACACATCTACTATACTTTGGGGGTGGTGTGTGTGTGTGTGTGTGTGTGAGAGAGAGAGAGAGAGAGAGAGAGAGAGAGAGTCTTTGGGGTGATGTTCACATAGGATTTCTACGTGTAAAAAGACATCGTGGCGGATAGCCCATCGTGGCGGATAGGTGGTAAAACTGTTAGAGGTGAAACATTCCCTCGCACCTATCATACTAGCTAATTAATTAAATCTTTAAACTTTTGACTCAAGTTAATTGTCAATGGCTGGTGACATATAGACTTGTTATGTACGTTGAGTCTTTCCCAACACCACCACACTGTTAACATTATGCTGACTCTACTCATTTGTCTTTCTAGAGAAGAATAAGCACTGTTTGGGTTATGAGTGTAGCTCACCACCAAATGAGTTGATGATTGTCACTGATAACACTTGTCACTTTTTAATTTGTATGGTTCATAATTCTCTTTTTTATCTTTCTTTTCCTTTATAGCTAGCCTTTTTTTCCATCTTCTCTTTTCTGCTCGTGCTTGCATATCAACTCATATCAATATTCAATTGCTCTCTATGCTTATGATTATCCAAGGATCATAATCATCTAGCACTAAAGAAAAGTTGGTGGTGAATTTGATGCAGAATTGAAGCTGTACGATACCTGTAATATTAGTTAAATTTTATCATGGACACCATGGATCAATCATCATCCGTCCCTCCTGGATTTCGATTTCATCCTACTGATGAAGAACTTGTCGGTTACTACCTAAGGAAGAAGGTTGCATCTCAGAAGATCGATCTTGATGTAATTAGAGACATCGATCTATACAGGATCGAACCATGGGATCTGATAGGTATTCCTTCGCTTCCTTGGTTTCTTATTACGTATTGCTACAAGATCCAAAGATCGTAGAAGAAAATCTTTGCTTATGTTTTGCATAGTGCTAATAATTAGGTTTTAGGTTTTTTCTTTTCATTTATAAAGAAAACCATTTTGTCAAAATCTCAGCCAGCCTATGATCAATATCAAGCTATGATCATGACGACAAATATTTTCGAATATACTTTTTGATACGACATTGACTGATCAGTAACGTACGTTTGATCTGTTTTTTTCTTTTCTTTTTTATAGAAAGATGTAGGATTGGATACGAAGAGCAAACTGAATGGTACTTCTTTAGTCACAAGGATAAAAAGTATCCAACGGGAACAAGGACGAATAGGGCAACAATGGCGGGTTTTTGGAAGGCTACTGGAAGAGACAAAGCAGTTTACGAAAAACTAAGGCTCATAGGAATGAGGAAAACGCTTGTGTTCTATAAAGGAAGAGCACCAAATGGACAGAAAACCGATTGGATCATGCATGAATACAGGCTTGAATCCGAAGAAAATGGTCCTCCTCAGGCAAGTAATTATTCCAAATGTAGATCTATTCACTCTTCAAAAAATTCTTCTTGCTTACGATATATATCATCTTTTTTCCAGTTATCATGGGTTATTTTTTCTCTTTTGATAAATCTTTAAAAATATGGTGTTGATTTTATGTTATTTTTACTATCTTCATCTATTTTCCATATTAATTTTAACCATGGTGTCTTCTTAGTTCTTTGTTGAGTCGTACATTTCATATTTAAAGAAAACGTAGTTATCTTCATCTTTTTCCAATGTTGCCGGTTTTAATTTTTTTTTTCTCTTCTTGCCTCTCTTCAATCTTTCATATTTGTTCTCTGGATCAAATCATCAAAACGTTTATAAGCTCAATATTGTACCATATATATTTTATGTTTTGATAAAAAATTATTCCTGGTTAATTTCTTATAAAAAACGCAAGTGCGAAGAAGATCTAAACAAGGAACAAAAACACCTTCAGTGCGTAAATTCATGAACAAATTTATATTTCGACAAATCACCATCAAATAATTTGTTTCGGTTAATGTTTTTCACCTCGTTTACTACCTACAACATAATATATATTAGACAGATTAGAGCTCCCATGTTGAAATTCCGATCCCACGTTTCGTTTTTAATCAATCAATTTCCACAATTTTATAAAGTTTAATGGATATATATTTCATACAATTTTATTATTTTTTTCTCTGGATTAAATTTTACAAATTTCAATAGAATATGTTCAAAAAAATCATTTATGCTCTTGTTTTAACCTACAAGATATCATGTGTGTGTCGTATAAAAATATCTTTTTTCATGCATGCTCTCCGCCACTGTCTTGTATTCTTTAGTTTGTGTTCGGATGTCCCTTTCACTTAATTTCCTTTTTGGTGTAAAATCTTTGAGAGTATGTGTGTGTATGTGAGGCAAAAAAACTTTTACTTTCACCGTTTCACGACCATTACTAATAAAAAAACGTTCATCACAAAGATAATTTCAATTCAAATTAAAGAAAGTGCAAGTACTTGGCTTTTCGCCGTGAGTTTTTTAACTTCTTAAAGTAGTCTTCCACCATGTACACATAATCCATCCCAGTTTGACTTCCGTATCATGTTTTCTTTGGTTTCATAACACTTCTTACATCTAGTCACTAAGTCAAAGAGGATCTATCATAAAGGAATGGTTTAAAATGTTTCGTACAAAAGTATAAATATAATAATTTTGGACTCGGCTACCTTAGAAAATTGTAATTAATCAATTAAAAGAAGTTTTGTGAAATTATTTAGTTGACTATGTATGCATGGTGATCAATCTTTTGCAGGAAGAAGGATGGGTGGTGTGTCGTGCATTCAAGAAACGATCAACAGGACAAACTAAAACCACCGAAGGATGGGAATCAAACTTCTTCTATGATGATTCAAGCCGAATGGATCCGATTGATTACATTACAAGTCAACCCTCGAGTTCCATATTTTCACAAAGCTTCATGTGCAAGCAAGAGTTGGAAGCAGTAGAGAATTTGAACTTCGTCCACTGTGATCAATATGTACAACTTCCACAACTCGAAAGCCCATCACTCCCATTAATAGAGAAGCCTAGCTCTATATCATTGGTGTCATCATCTGAAAATAATGATCTAGAAGACGATCTACAAGGAGGGAGAAACATACACAACAACAAACGTAGTATGAATAATATAGATAACGTCGATAAAGTGACTGACTGGAGAGCTCTTGATAAGTTTGTAGCTTCTCAGTTGAGCCAAGAGGATCGATATGGGCTTGGTGAAGGTTTGTCTTCCAGCTTTCAAGGGAAAGAAAATTCGAATTTCTCTTATATGTTTATGGAACGTGGTAGGGAAGAAGAAGATGGTGGAGGAGGAGGAGGGAAGCTGAATGTTTTGTTGAGTTCGAGCCACCAAGATCATTCTGATATTGGAATATGCATATTTGATAAGTGATGAATACGAAGTACTACATTGATGCTTTGAGGAGATGATAATACTGGGAGTCTCATAAGTATAAGAGTTCAGTGATGAATACGAAGGACTACATTGATGCAATGACGAAATGATAAATTGATAATACTAGTAATCTCATAAGTATAAGAATTCGCTAATCTTGAGACATATATAACGCGTACATGTATCTTTGTCTTTCTCTTTATATATTGTTGTGAAGGAGTCGTAAGAGTACAAAATAAGAACCACTCTTCCCTTATATTACCAACGAGTCATATACAATGTATACACAAAAACTATTTCCTATTTTATAAATTTAAGATTCGTTATTAAACAAAATCTTTGTTTAAGTTTCCGTTCTTTGAAACAATATTGTATAAAAGAACTTTGGGGCAAAGAGGGAAAAATACATATGAAAAAATCAATTTTATTCGTTATACCAAAACTGATTCCAATAAACCCCCTTAAATCTCTGATCGATTAAGGTAAGTTATGTATTTTTAGTTGATTCTTCATATTTTCCACAAATGTAATGATTAATAACACAATTGATGTATTTTAGTAGGACGTATTTACCATGGATGGTTGTATCATACTTGATTTCATCGTTTATACTGTGAAGTATCATGATCCTACTCTCATAATGATAATTAATTTGATTTTGGAGGATTGGAATACAATGTGTTCTAAAAATTTGTTGCAAAATCTAATTAAGGAATTGCCGTTGGCATGTTTATTTAAGATTGTGTTCAAAAAGCCATTAACTATTTTGCAAAAACATTAAGATTTAAGATGTACTGGAACATTCTTAAACATGGATAACATTATGGTAGAACTAGGTGATTTCCGGCTTTGCGCTAGAATAGAATTATATAGTTAAAATAATAACTTTTACCAAATTATTATTTAATATTTCTACTTTGAAATAAAATGTTAGTAGTAAAGCAAACATATAGTTAACATATCAGTTTTATTAAACATTATAGTTTAATTTTTAAGTCATTGTGATATATATATAATTATTTGATAATTTTATAAACCATTTAAAATTATGTACATTATATATCAAATGAATAATAATATAACAGGTAAGAAAACATATGAAAAAAAATATAAACTGCAACTTTTAATAACATAAAAATAGAAAAACATTTATTATAACAATTGTATTAATATATATATATATATATATATATATATATATATATATATATATATATATATATATATATATATATATATATATATATACAACGAGTAATAAAAAATATAAAAAATAAACACTATAATTTTTAATAACATAAAAATACTAAAACATATATTATAACATTGTATTAACTCTTCATATTTAAATCATAAATCTCTTCAAATACATTAATGTTTTTAATGAACAAAACTTTACAACCTTATAAAAGAAAATAAAATAAAAAGTTATTAGTGATTACTAATTAATAATCATAAGTTAAAAAACTTTTGAGTTTTAACTAATAAATATACATAAATTAAAAAACTCTTGAGTTGTAGTATGGGGTTCAAATGAATACGGTACTTGGAAATGTATTATTATTATTATTATTATTATTATTATTATTATTATTATTATTATTATATTCTTTTAAATAATTGGTTTTGATGCATCATTTGAATCCCTTCAATTATTAAACATAAAGATATTTAATTAATAATATACATAGGTGCATATACATGTTAAACAAATCACATATATATATATATATATATATATATATATATATATATATATATATTCGTAAATATCATATGTAATTCTTATGGTAATAATATGTATAAATTACTTTCATATGAAGAACATATCATGATAAGTCTATCATAATTACATATTAAATATTCAAAATTATGTTATCTTTTAAATATGATGTGTAGGATAACCAACAAAAAATTAATATAAAATAAACATAATCAAAATAGAAAAACTACAATCAAATAAATAAGAGCAATTGGTGGTTAAATATATAAATAAAGATGTTACATAAACATACATTTGAATCAAAAGAAAAAACTAACATTCGTCAACTTTGCTCAAACAAAAAAACCTATATCCATTTTATAAATATTCTTTTTTCATTTAACACCATTCAACCATAGAAACTTGATGACAATAGTTCACTAACCTGCATTCAAAATATTTTTCTTGAAAAAGAAGAATCATAAAGATATTCCAAGCAAAACATCGATCTTTGGAGAGTCACATTCAAGATTGAGTAATACACACAAATCACATATAAAGATTAAATGGGAAAATGAATATAAAGAAAGAATAGAGATGCTTCATTTGTTTTGGTTGAAAGAAAAAAACATATTACAATTACCATCGATGCGACATAACCCATTTCTTCAAATCATCATATTTGGATCGTGAATGCTTCAACTATATGAAAACTTTTGAATCACAATATCTTCAAATCCTTCTTACATGTAAGATTTTATATAACACAAAAGACACAAAAGATTGGCCTTTAAAAAGTAAAGTTTTCACTAAATGCTAATTAAACATAATATAAATTATAAAACTTTTGAGTGTTAAATCATAATTAAGAAAAATTTTGAGTTGCACTAGTTAAAAAAAGGGGTTTCAGATGAATGTGGTTTGAGAAAGTGAAAAAATGGGGTTTCAAATGCATGAGATACAAGAAAAAAATACTAGCTTTATAAGTATGTATGATTATCCTTTATCTCTCTCTCTCTCTCTCTCTCTCTCTCTCTATATATATATATATATATATATATATATATATATATATATATATATATATATATATATATATATATATATATATATATATATATAAGGCGTAAGAACCATGGTTACAAAATTAATTAAACTTTTATAATAAAACTCAAAGTTATGGATCAATTAATTTAAATAAATTATTAATTAATAGATATTTTTAGTTGTATAAAATTATAATTGTTTATTTAAATTAATACATAACCTCATAATCTGTATTAATTTTATTTTAATTTTTATTCTAATGTTATTAATTTAATGTAATTACAGTAAGAAATTTAAATTTTGAAATTTGAAATGAAGAATCAATAGGTTGACAAGTGTCATGACATTAATCAGGATGCCTAATAGGGTGACATATAGCCAAATAAAGATTAAATATATTTATTTATTAGAATAGAGAGATCATAGGGAATATTTAACAAAGTACTTAGAAGAGATAGAGTAGACCTACTTAGGAGAGATGGAGTAGACAAGGTAGACAATGATGCATTATCTAAAGATGTTTCTAAATCACATGAATAATAAGACGATGTAGCAAGCTTGAATAAAATACAAGATCACCTTTTTTTGTTAGAACTTTATGTTGATCATCATATTCTAAAATGAAGCCACAGCAACCGATGATCATCATAATTGTGCAGAAGAAGTTCTCTACTCTATACACGATCCTTCCATTCCTTATTTGTCAATCATCCCTATTTTAGGGATGAAATCAAAAACAACTAAAAGAATGCATATCCAGTTATGATGTTGCGGATAACCATACCAATCTATATGAAATATGATAACTTGTGGTTATCCGTTAGTCATGGTAAACGAAATAGTGACATTTATTTTCCTTCAGATTGTACGTGTCTTAGAGGGGCAAGAACACTTATCCAAATTAAGTTTTTAATTTGTAACCACCATCTTGAATGAAATTTGATAGGAACTTGTTATATATTCTTATATTTCTATGTAATAAGTGTTATGGATAAAAAAATTTACTTACCGCTAACATCTTGAAATTGAACTAACATCACATGCAAGCCAAAGATCTTGGATTTATTCAGTATGTTGGACTTTCATCGTTTTTCTTATAAAATCTTGTGCGTGGACTCAGTGCTTAAAGAAAAATACATATACCAAGTCAACTACACGTCGTCAATGCCTCATTAACTTTGAAGACCCTCTAAAAAATCGGGCCAAGCAAAGATCGAGGAGAATTCCAAAGAATATTGAAGTTCTAGTTATTCTTGTTATGTATAAAATACTAGTTGATCAATGCACACAGACACGCCCACTTCTTTTTTTCTGATTCTTTCAACACTTTAGCACAAACATATTCTTTCTAAGATCATGTAGCACTTGTAACATTTATTTACGATTTAATATATGTTCTAGGGCAGGTGAGTTTATCACCTCCTGAGGTTTTATGTCGGAAATCCAAAAGGATTAAGGTATTTCTTCGTACATCTATGTGTTCTTACTTTTGTTTTACTTATTAATAATTGTTTAAATGATTACAACATTGTTTGTATAGTTATTTGATTGTTTAACTATTTTCGTATCAGCTTATCAAGATATTTTGTGGAATCGTGATACCTTCTCGAGTATCTTAGAATTTTCTTATATAAAATTATCTATTAACCATTTTAACACTATTTTTTCTTAGAATATTCCAAATACACTTGCTTATAATTTAAAATGAATCGACTATATTAAATAGTTTTCTGAATATCAGTATCTTCTTCTTAGGATCTTGGGTACTCTCATGATCTTCAACATATCTCAAGATCTTCAACGCTCTAATTTTCAACATCTTTTCTTAAACATCACACCACACTTACTAATTTGGTTACAAAATTAATTTGTTAATTTGTAACCAAAAAATTGGCATCATCCGTGGGACATGTGTTGTTATTTTATTTTTCTATTTAAAGTTACTCGAAAAGCCTTTTTCAGATTTTCAATCACTTACACATTTTTGCACAAAAAATGTCTTCTTTACCAAAATCCACTTCTAGCATTATTTCATTTCTCAAGTGGTCAGAGCCTTCCCTCGCTTCCTGCAGCCACCTCACAAAAAAGGAATCTTGAGATCCCTATAAGTGGAATCCCAACATCCTCGTCACTCCAATACTCAGGAAATGCAACTCGGGAAATATCAATTATGGTCTCGAACA